CAGAAATAAACTTATCTTGTGAATGTGTTGACCAAATTGGCAATGCACCGAGGTATAGCATGATATCCTTTGCTAATAAAGCGTGAATTAGCTTAATTAGATTACAATTTTCGTGTATTATTCATAGAATTTAATAAAGCTTACCCAAATTGATTCTAGATGCATTCCGAACAAAATTTCTAAACTTTTCAATTTCATCTGAATTGAGATCCAAAAATATTTGCTCTAATGTTTTCGATGATTTTGATACAGCTCTTTTAAGAGACTCGACCATGTTTGTTGGAGTTGATAAAAGAATACATTCTCTAATAATTGCGAGATTTGGATTAAGCCCATTATTTTGTGGAGGAGGTTTACACGTAGTAAACCTAACTCCTAATTTTGCTAATATCGGAATCATTGGTCCATAATCATACAATTCTGGAGGCAAGTGTAGTAAAGGATCATAAGGGTTAAATAAGACGAGTTTTTTTTCTGGCCATTCCATCGGTAATAATGGAAACTTTGAAAATTCTAAGAAATCATATTGTGAATTTTCAAACATAAATATCGCAAGAATCTGATCTATCCATTGTTGGTTCGGATGTGTGTCTTCGGAAGGATTCCAATATATTTCTTGATTACGTGGCAACTCGTATTCTAATAAGTCAAGAACTGCAGTCTCATCAAGATCAAGAAATTTTATTCCGTTAACATGACCGAAAACTTCATCTTTAAATCTTTTTTCAATTTCTGGTGGAAGTTCAACAACAAATTTAGATTTCTCCACATTTTTAAATAAGTCCCGCATACGTGATGATGATATATAATAATTTTGATGACCAAATGTTCCAACAGTTCCATCAAGTAACGGTACTAAAGAAAGTCCACGGAAATCTATAACTGTTTCATTGTCATTTTGAAAAAATGAACTTTAATAAACTGATAACCAAGCTGTGAGGCTGGTCAAAAGAATCCCAAACGTTGGGAGTTTCATAAAAAACATTACAAATCAATTGAACGGTGATGGTTTTAGTCATTGGAAGTGATTTCATAAGATCACTCATTTGATTTTCGGTTAATTTTACGGTTGATATATTTAAAGTTGCGAGAACATTAGCAATATTTTTAAGTTTGGGTACTGCAAAATAAGCATCTTTATGAGAGGTAAACATTCCTCCGTTCGCGAGAGTCCAGAAAATTTTGTGATCTCCGAGTTCCAATTGTTGCATTAATTTTTTTACATAGTTTCCGAATATATGATTTGTTTCTCTAACAATTGGCCACAGTATTGTGGATGTAATTGGTTCAAACTGTTTCTTTGGCGACTGTAAGAACCGTTTATGATCTAATAATGCTATTTGTTCCAAAAGTTTCGCATGTAAAGGTGGAAGAATATGGAATAAAATATATTCATTCCATTTGTTTTCTGGCGTTTCCAAAAGCATGAAAGCGCTATCATATTGCAAAAGACTTTTCCTATCACTAGAAAGAGCGAACGTTCCATTGAGATGGACATTCAAACCAGTGAGAATTGGTAAAGATAAATACGAATACATTCTACCCCTAAGCGCGGGAGGATATGGGAACTAAATTTTAAATTATTTATTAGTAATATAGTTATGCGTATCAATATTCACCAATAATTTGAAACATTGATTACCGGTTTTGTTCTTAGTTGTTCTAATGACTCATCAGATTGTGCAAGTAGTGAAGCAACACCACCTCTTGGCTAATGGTACAAAATATTAATCATGCAAACGTGTTATAAATTTATCAGATTTAACAAATATGTAACATTAAATCTACTCACTAAAAGTTTATTCTTGAGAGAAAATGACTCTAAATCATAATTTGCAACTATATCAGCTCCACCGGAACAAATAAGCCAAATTTCAGAAGCCGCTCTGATACCACTTAATCTTTTTGTTTCAATTTCGAGTTGAAATAATTGTGATTCAGAAGAAAGTAAAAGTCGCTGTTCACGGATGAGATCCGTTAAATTATTAATCTTGGATTCCCAAAATACCCTCTGATCTTGGTCAGGATTAGGATTTTGATTTATAAAACGTAAACTACAACTTTCTATATTCCTTAAAAATAACATCTCGTGACTTCCTTGTATTCTACTGAAAACATCGACTAATTCACGAAGGGTCGATGCTTTATCTGATATCTCACTTTGTGTTGCCAGTAATCTTGTTCTCAAAGGTATTCTAAATAAGGTTCCATTAAATCTTTTACTAAAATCGCACCCATCAATAATATTCATATAAGGTTTTGCTTGGTCAGAATATCGTTTTTTGAAATCCTTTTCGATAAAGTTAATCCTTATACCACGAGGCTTTCTTGGAGGGTTGCCAGTCTTGGGTAACCATTTTTGCGATGGATCTAAGAAAGTGATATATTCACCACTTACAAAACTTATTACATCCGATATGTGATAACAACAATTTAATCCTATTCCAAATCTTCCAATCTTAGTATTATCTTTAGATTTTTCACTTCTTCCTAAATTTCGAAGCGATTTAAAATCTTTTTCAGTGAATTCCGAATCATTATATATCCATAATGCAGGCCCTTGCCAAACGTCCATTTCAGGAGTTAACAGTGAAGTATCAGGACTTCGTGTGTTAAAGGATCTATCATCCGCGATTAAATAGAATTTTCTAGCTCCAGCATCGTCCGCATTCTGTATTGAATTTTTTTTATATAAATAATGTATTATTGCACAAAAACCATAATCAATAAATTTTATCGCTTACCTGTAAAAATTCTTTAAATAACGAAGCGAGTGGATAATCCTAAATATTATCAAGAGTTAAATATTTGGTCAAAAATTAGTTATAAACTATGGAGTTCTAAATTAATGAATTACATTAATGATATTGCGAATTCTGGCAGTCAATGGTTCACTTTGTTCATAATCTTCAAGATCATCATTAAAATCATCAGCTGTGAAAATAATAGGGATAAGGTCGTACTTAATCTAATAAAGCATTTCAAAGTATCACAACTGCTAAACCTATATAACGCTTACATTCATCAAGTAATTTTTCGGAAAGCATCCTCATTCCAAGTGATTTCGCAACACCAAACGAAATCAAAGAATGTGCTATTTTAAAATCATTTTTCCTTTCCTCGTCTAATCTATTATTCAACATATCATCATATAGAATTTCACTTAGTTCAACTAATTGACAATCGGTGCTTGGAATCAATAATTTTTCTAATCCATAATCATCCTTTAAATTGTTAATGGATTGACCGAAACTGAAACCAATTGGTCTACTAATTCTTTGTGAAATGTGATCAATAAGCATAACAATATTACGTATTTCATCACTTGATAAAGTTTTTGTAGCATCCCAATTTTGATATTCCTTAGCCATCTCGATAAAATCCGAAATTCCAATTTTTTGTCTAACACCCATTTCTTCAAACATCGATCTGTATTTAGTTTTATATTCACATGGAAGTTGAACGATCTCTAAAGCGCCACTTGTAAAACCTTTCTCAAACTCGAATACGACATTAACAGAAGAATAAAATTTTCCATTACATAAAATCCATTTTCCAGACCCTTCTTTAAGCCCGTTTTTGAACTTTAATATAGATTCATAATCATTCAACATATATAATTCATTTAGATACTCGTATATTGCGTCGCATATCTTTGGTATATCATGTTGAATTTGAGAAGTGCAAGACTGCTGTTCTTTGTGTAGTTCTATACAAGAATTAAGTTGCTTGAGAACGACATCCACAGATGGAAATGAATCCCATTGTAAATTCCTGATAAAAAGGTCATTTTTCGGAGAATATTCTACGACTGGAAGAACTAGGCCGATTAAGTTCTTATTTTTTTCACTTCGACAATCTAATGAATTTAAAAATAATTTTTTTCCCAGACGATCTACGGCAGGAATCCAATCTTTACTCATCAAAGTAAGTGCTAATTGTGATGCTTCTTGAGAGATAGAACCATTAGATTCAAGACCACCAGAGAGTATAAGTTCTTCATAATTTTCATCAATATATTGAAATAATTTTATCGATTTCTGGTAGGTCAACTCCATGAGGCCGTCAACCTCTCTTCGTTTGGTAAAAACAGCTATTCGTTGAACGACATCACTCGGAGAAAGACGTGATTTGATTCCTAGCTCTTTCAATAATGGTAAATATCTATACGAGAAATCTGTTGAGAAAATTCCAGCAGGAAACACGCTTTCATCATCAAAAAATAACTCAGCAATATCTTTATTCTCAGGATCATATAGACCACACGGCTTTCTCAAAACATAATTATCAACCATAGACTGATTATTTTTTGACATTAGAATTGTTCCAGCTGGAACAAATTCCATATTATTTAATTCGTATTTTAACTTTACATCTCTTGAAATGAGTTGTGGGAGTCGTTCAAACAATTTTGTGAGCATTATTTTAAAAATGTCAGGAGGTTGAGATCTTAAATAAGGAATCACAAATTTACGCCAATATTCCTCTTGTTTTAATCTTGGAATCCTAAGAATGGTTTCAAAAAGGAATCTTAAATTTGTGGTCGTAACGGCAAGGAAACCAACTGTATTTGGAGCAATTATATAACCATAATCCATTTCGTCCTCAAGAGGAAGTAAATACCATGATCTTGCATCAGGTTTTAGAGATATGAATTCATCTTTTTTACCAACTTCAGTAAAGATTGGAAAATGTTTGATTGCATCAATAAGATCAGGCGAATTACCAATACCAGAACTCCTATGACATAAATAGTTAATCAGATCAGCCGTTTCTTGAGGACTCAAATTTTGTTGTACATTTTTTGGAAAATTTTCATTTACAAGAAAGCATCTCAGAACACTGGCAACATTTTTAAGTTTGGTAACAAATTCTGATAACCTAATTTAAAATAAATAAATATATTTATTATTTATTAATAATTATACGATATACAAATTATATAATAATTTAAAATGCTCACTTTAACCAACCCGAGAAATCGTGTTTTTCGAAATCTTTATCAACAAATGTGGCGCCAAAATTTTCAAAAATAGGTTGTACTTTAATATCAACATCATCAATACCATTCCAAAAACATTTTTGAGCAGTTTGCAATTTTCTAAGGGTTCCATGATTTGTGGGTAATAAATGAATAGAACGAAATTCATCTAAATCACAACGCGTTTTGTACAAGTTTGACCAAATCCTATAGATCCATTCAATATGATCTTTAGAATCTATCTCATCATCAGTAGCCGAATATCCTTTCAAAGATTTCATAATCATTTCGGACATTGCGGACGGAGTCATAATCTTGATATTGAGGCACCATCCACTTTTTGCACCTTCGTAAAGATGAAGCCATAAATCACTTGGAATATCTTTGTCGATTAATTGATTTAAACAACTGGCAAAGATCACACTTTCATCATTATTTTCAGATTTTTGCTTCTTGTCAGGACCTATGTACGCAATACGTTTAGTTGCACGGGAAATTGTTCCAAAAGTACCATCAGCTAACGGTATCATCTCAAGTCCATCAAAATCAACATATTTTTTTATCTTTGAGTATATACGCGAATAATAGCAATTTATCTTGTCTGGATAATTGATCTTTCCACCTTGGGCTATTTCTATGGAGATATTCCCGAATTATTCGTGGTGAAAATAATTTCAAAGAATATTTATGTCGAGATCGTTCCAACGTTTCTTTCACCTCAGGTTTGACAAAAATAACAGGGAATCCAATGCTTTCTATAATATTTGAAATTTCTGGAAGTGCAGAATCATCAGGAAAATAACCATTGGAGATTGATAATAAACGAAAATTGAAATTATTGGACGCGGAAATTTTTTTATATGTTTCAGAGATGCCAAATATACACCCAGGTTCGTACAATTTTGATGGACCTTGAAATATTTCATCATCTTGGTTAAGATTTTCAACTATATTAAGTAATAGATCTTTGCAAAGATTAATAGAAACGCCAGACATTGAATTTTGAATTATAGGCCAAAAATCATAATATTCTTGAGATTTGACGAATGGAATCACTGAAGGAAGAGTGATCAAGAATTTGATCCATGCTTGTGGAAGGACAACACCGATAAGATATTGATTCCATGACACTTTTAATTGGGCTAACGCATTATCAGCCTAAAGATAACAGGTAATGAGCAATAACAAAATAAATAATCTAAAAAATAAAAGAAATAATATAAAGAACAAAATAAAAGGTTTAACACGTGATTAAGCTTACCAAATCTTCATTATCCGAGGCAGTCCAAAGAGAACGCCTATTTGCGCTGACCTTTTTAGATTAATTAAGCAAAGGTTTAGCTTTTGACAATAAACTTTTGCTATAAACCTGCAAAAGAAGACATACCGCAAAATGACCATGCACAGAGGCGCGAAATGGCATCGATATAGGTAGTGGAAGAAAGCAAAACAATCTCCCGAAGGCCGCATAATCATCAAATTGAAGTGCAATACCAACATTTGGAATAAATTTGTAATTTTTTCTTGAATTACTTTGAAACTTTTCTTCTACGTCATTTAAATCGCCAAGCCAATTAAATATAATCCACTGACTAATTTTTACTTTTTCAATACCCATTTTTTGGTGGAAGATAGCAACATATACAGACTCCAAAGAAGTAATGTTAGTGTGCTTTCTAGTTGATAAAGAATTCATGATAGGACCTATATTTTGTTCGATTAATTCCCTTTTTACACGAACTTTATCAGCATTTGCAAGTTCAATTTGGTAAAGTAACTTTGGTTCCGATTCATTAACACCAAGTTCATAAAATTTAATACACTCAATATGTTTCAAGAATAAAAGACAATTTATACTCTCATTCTCATAAAATTTGTGAAACATTTCCAGGATTTGATCAGGACTATATTCCTTATCAGATATTTTTGATTCGATGGCATCTTGCGCAGTGCGTAAAGGATAACGGAATATAGTGCCTTGAAAATTTTTATCACGTGGAATATGATAAGGGGAAAAGGGAGAAAACTGATCTGGGTAATTAATAGCCATTTTATTTTGAACAAAGTCAAATTTGATACCACCATCGAAATATCGCTCATGAGGCTAGGGAAAAGTTTATTTTTTAAACAGAAATTAATTATATTAATTATTTGATTGAAATTCTTTGTTAAGAACTCTAATTAACGAAAAAGTTAAGTTCAAACACCTACGTCGAGAATCACATATTTATCGCCAGTTACAAAACTAGGTAAATCTGTTATATGGTATACAGAATTAAAACCTAGACCCATTGCTGTTATCGTAATAAAAATAATAAGTTAACTTTAATGTTCTAATGTATGCACATGATTCCTATCGACAATATCAATAGTATTATTTTAATTCTACTGACCGCCAATCTTATCGAATTGATCATACTTTTCACTATCAGCCAATTTTAACAATGACTTGAAATCACGCTCTTCAAAAATTGAATCATTTCTTGACAAAAGAGCCGGCCCTTGGTACCTATCTAATTTCAAATTTGTTTCATTATAACCCTTTAATCTTGGCTCTAGTAAACTCTTTGTCGGGTAGGTATTTCGATCTATAAAGGAAGAAATTTTAGTTATTACAGTGTTATTGAATAAAAAAGCTTTAAAACAAAATGAAAGACAAGGAAATTGAAAATGTATCGTACCAAGGATGAATGATTGACATCTACTTTTCGCATCATCAGAATTTTGAATAATTTCTCGAAGAATTTGAGAACCATCCGGATATTCCTCAAGAATCTTACTCAATCGATTAGTGTAAGATTCACCCGGCTTAAAAATTTCACCTTGAATATCTATTCGAGACATTAACTTCAATATTTGTTTATATTTTGAAGGAGCAATTATTATTATTCGATATAAGAAACGTTTTATTCAAAATTCGGAAGCTGTGCTCCGGTAACAGAGTCACGAATTAAGCTATGGCTAGGATCTGCAAACTAAAAAGCCATAGTTTCTTACACAATGTGACATAAATAATGGTTTATAAGGCGTACCACTCCGACTCAATGTCAATTTTCTGTCATAATGACTGAGTCATTCATATTTAAGACAATAAAAAAGAAACAATGATTTTAGCATTGGCTGAGATTTAGTTAAAATCAAGATTGTAAACAGAACCTTAATCAAGTAATATTGGTATTAGACGATCGTTACCTGAACTTTAAGATGTTTTGATGACTAGAAAATGCTCTCGAAACTTAAATGGCAATATCGTGATATTTGTGTTTAGATGATCTTTAAAAAACGATGCTTCGGTAGTCACCTCTTAATTATAGCAATTTGAAATTCCCAAACCATGAAATTTAATAATCAATGAATTTAAAATATTTTTATTGGTATTTTCAGTTATATGTGTCGATCTATAGTTGCCGATCTTAGTCGCCGAATGGATAATCCAATATATATACTGTATAATATATTCAATTCTATTGAGCACGTGAAAATTTGCCAATATACGCATTTAAATATTGTGTAAACATTTGATTTAATTGCATGTAGGTTTATATTACTATCTAAAATATTTGTTACACTATTGTTATGTTTGCGTAAAGAATAAAAAGAAAAAAAGCTTACAGTATATACACTGAATAGAGATGATTTTGGTTCTGAATTTTTAAAATTTTGTATAACAACAATGATCATACGTACGTACGCCTAATTTCTAGAAATGCATTGGAACTATGGCGCAAAATCTAATCATTAAATCATTTATCAAATTTGGCAATTATAAATATAAGGATTAGTGTAATGACAAACGGAAACTCGGTTTTGGTGTCTATTTTTGGCATTTTAGTTTTCCCCAAAAATTCAAGCGTAAATTCATTTTTATTGGCTAATATTTTGTTAGTAAATTTTATAGTTACCGTTACACGAATCATTACGGCGCACTTACCAAAATAAAGCTAAAGTTTGGTCACTAAATCTAAGTATTTCTGTATTCGGTATGCAGATTTAAAATATTAGTCACCAGATTACAAAATATATCACTAATGAAATTTTAAATATATATTTGACATAAAAGTTAGAGTGCTCTCAAGCATCTGAATAAATAGGTCTGAGTTCAATTTTTAATTAGTGGAAAATAAATTATTATCGCGATGAAAAAAAAGAATCATAGAGTTGTTGTGTTGATTGGCTAAAATTTAATATCCGCGTTTCGCAACGTGAATTTTCGACAAAATTACCGTAAGGTTTACTTCAATTAATCGTAGTACTTGTGCACGATCTCTATAGCTATCTAATTACACTGAGAGAGATGCTTGAGAGTACCCTTAAATAATAATTATATAAATAAAATTTAAGTTAATAGATATGATTTTAGTATGTTAACAGTAGTAGATTGCATTAATTTAAAAAATTGATTTTTTTTTTAGAATAAATGTATATATCGCACTATGTGATTCACTTGTATATCCATTGTTATTGCTGCAACATATAATTAGTAACCGATTTTGATCGGCTGTTATTATTATGTGTAAATAAGCTGCAGATTGGCCTACATTATGTAACACGATATAATTTTGACCAGAATTATATGCTGCGGCAATGATATTAATCATCAACCGACCGGGGTAAAATCGCCACCCAAAAAAGTTATTAGGATCATGATGATAATAATATTTCTAAGATATTAATTGATTTATTATTTTTTTTTT